TGAACACCCACCGCGATCCGATGACCTTGTTTCCGACCGGAACCGCCGATCTTGGGATGAGGTCGTAGACGTTGTTCTCGTGAAGGCTCGCCATTTCCTTGTCCATTGCCTTGGACCATTGTGCGCTGTGTGTTGATGCCTTGGCTTCCTTGAACGTGTTGGGCAGCGTAATGCTGGCAGGATCCGGGTTGGATTGGGTGATTGTTTCCGTGACGTATGCATACTCCACGAGTGAACTACGTTCCGGCTCGTGCGCATAGTCTTCTTTCTCGAACGTGGCCGACGTAGCCAGTCGTTTCAATTCGAGTCTCGTTTTTCCGTCTAGCCCCGCAGTGTCCACACTCGGGGGGTCTTGGGCTGGTCCCTTGGACCGTAATGTCCTGCTCAAAGATGTGACAGGTCCCTGCGACCGTAGTGATGTTGCCCTGTCTGGCGATGTATCAGGAAGCAATGAAGAACTTGAGGGGTCCTGTCCCTGCGTCGAGTCCTCTCCGTGGTCAAATGACGTTCGGCTACTCGGTGTTCCCACAGAATCCGGTGTTGATGGCGGATCAAACGTGACCCCTGAACCGGTTGTCGTGAGTGGACGTGGTGAACCCTCCAAATAGTTGTTTTTCTCCAACTCTTGGTCCTCCTCGTTGTTGGGTTCCTCCCTGGTTGTGCCGAGGAGGGGTAAATGTGCAAGAATGTCCCAACGATACGCTTCATCAGCGCCGTTGTTATCTGCATCTTCGTCTTCGTCTTGATTGGACAGGAGCTTGTCTTGTCCAGCTTCCGGTATTGCCGTTGGCGGCGTCTCAATGAACGTGACATTCCGGCTTTCCGTAATCCGGCGGTTGTGTGGATTGTAGACTCGATAGGACTTGCTGTCCTTGCTGTACCCCAGCATGATGCCTTCCCAAGCCCTCTGTTCTAGCTTGTTGCCGTGTCTCTCGTTGTGCACGAAGGCCCTTGCTCCAATACCCCTCAAACCCGAAAGATTTGGTTCTTTCCCAAATAGCTTGGAGTATGGCGAGCTTCCGCCAAGTGCACGATGAGGAGAGCGATTAATAAGAAAGACCGACGTTTCGCATATTTCTCCCCACAGGAACTTCGGAAGTCCAGTGTCGATGAGGATGCACCTTGTCATGTTCATTATCGTCCTTCCGTCACGTTCCGATACACCATTCTGCTGAGGAGTATTTGTCGATGCAAACTCCATCTTTATTCCGGTTTCCCTGCAGTAGCTCCTGTAGTACTCAGCCACGTACTCTCCGCCTTTGTCGCAGCGTAGACGCTGCACCCTTAGCCCCAGGGGGATGACGTAGTCCTGAATGAAATAAGCCAGGGTGTCGATAGCTTGATCCTTGGAAGATATCGGGTAAACCGCTTTCCATCTGGTGTGGTGATCCGTGAACTTGCTGAAATAGTTGGACCCGTCCTTTGCTTGAGGCTTGAACGGTCCGGCCAAATCCGTGTAGACCAACTCGAACGGAGAGGTTGTCGTGACCGTAGACTCCTTTGGATGCTTGAGCTGAGCACTTTTCCCAAGCTTGCAAACCTTGCAAGGGGAAAGATCTCCTTGGAACAAAACACCCGAGTCAGGCTTGGAGCGCAGCGTCTTCATGCTGTTCTCGTTCAGGTGTCCGAGACGACGGTGCCAGTTGTCCGTGTCCTCGTTGGTAGCAGGGAATGCCGACTGTGCCTGAGCTGATGAAATCTTGGGGAGAATCTTCAAATCCACCTTGAAGATCGA